AGACCTTAAACTTCTGATCTTTCTACCTTTGCCTCCGAGTGCTGGGGTTGCAGGACTGGATTGCTAGAGTCACATCTTCAGGCCCTGTTGTTATTTTGCTTTCTGAGACTCGGTCAGACAGTCTTTAAAAGTCCAGGATGACCTACAACTCGCCAAAGAGATCAGAACCCTTGGCCTTCCGGCCTCACTTGCCCAAGCGCTGAGATTACAGATGTGCACGCTCATGTCTGGCTGGGAGAACCGAACACTTTCCTTCTGTTGCTTCCATGCTGAGCGGCCAGAGCCCGTGGGATTTCCAAGGCTGTAGCTCTCTGGGGCTAGCCGGGGTTTTAAGACGGAAGCTTGGGAAATACACGTGGGCTGGGAATGTAGGCTTGTGATTGTTCAGCTTTCCTGGGCTATTTAAAGCTGCCGAGTGAATGAACTATGCAGAGGAAGAAGAAAAGAGGGCCCTCGTGGAAACTCTGAGAATCCCTAAAGCTCATGGGAGCCCGAGACAGCGGGGGGGGGGAATCATGAAATAAAAGCAGGTTAGATCTGAGGAGGGGAGCCTTTTAGGGGGCATGCTACTCGTGGAGTCTGTGCTGCACGGGCCTTAAATACAGGAAGGCAGAAGGACGGCTGCGGCTTCAGCATTATGGCGCCCACACCGGCAGAAGTCCTTTGAGTGGAGTGCTAAGTGGGTTCCAGAAATGAAAGGAAGTTGGGGATAGGAGGGCGAGCACAGGCCTCCCTGTCACTCTTCAAACCTTTTAAGACACGGAGGCATGCTAACCTGAGGAGGGTGTGGGTGGGTAGAGCACCGACTTTTTCTTCAGATGGATTCGCATCTGGAAACATTTTGGAAAGAAGTCAGTATCTGAGGCTGAAGACACAGAAAAGAGATTGGAGCTGCAGAGGGCCTCTGAGGTGACAGCTAGGACAGGGGAGAGGAGACAGGTTCCTTTGGCTTTCTTCCTTACTTCTTTCCTCTCTCTCTCTCTCTCTCTCTCTCTCTCTCTCTCTCTCTCTCTCTCTCTCTCTCTCTCTCTCTCTCTCTCTCCTTTCTTTTGTTTTTGTTTTTGTTTTTGTTTTTTTTCAAGACAGGGGTTCTCTGTATTGTTTTGGAAGCTGTCCTGGAACTCACTCTGTAGACCAGGCTGGCCCCGAACTCACAGAGAGATTCGCCTGGGCTCTGCCTCCCATGTGCTGGGATTAAAGGCGTGCGCCACCAACTCCCGGCTTCTTTTTCTGTGTTTTTGAGACCTTGTTTCTCCACATAGCCCTGGTTGTCCTAGGGCTTGATCTGTAGTCCAGGCTGGCCTCGAACTCATAGATCTGCCTACCTCTGCCTGCTGAGTGCTGGGATTAAAGGTGTGTGCTACCACACCCAGCTTGATTTGTTTCTTATTTTTCTTTATTTTTAACATTTATTTATTTTGTGTGAATCTGTGTTATGTGCATTTCACTGTTCTATTCCTTTGAAGACACACCATGATCACAGCGACTCTTTTTTTTTTTTTTTTTTTTTTTTTTTGAGACAGGGTTTCTCTGTATTGTTTTGGAGGCTGTCTTGGAACTCGATGGGTAGACCAGGCTGGCCTCAAACTCACAGAGATCCACCTGCCTCTGCCTCCCAAGGGCTGGTATTAAAGGCGTGAGCCACCAACACCCTGCTTGACCACAGCGACTCTTATAAAGGAAAATATTTATTGGGGCTGGCTTCTAGTTTGTAGGTTTATCTATTATCATCATGGCAGGAAGCCTGGTGGCATGCAGGCAGACATGGTGCTGGAGAAGGAGCTGAGAGTTCTACATCTTGATCAGCAGGTAACATGGAGAGACAGTGACACACTGGGCCTTGCTTGAGCTTCTGAGACCTCAAAGCCCACCCCTGGTGGAACACTTCCTCCAGCAAAGCCACACCTATTCCAACAAGGTCATACCTCCTAATAGGGCCACTCCCCAGTGACCAAGTGTTCAAACATGAGTCTGTGGGGGCCATTCCTGTTCAAACCACCACAGCGTACACACCACAATGTGCACACGTAGAGGTTTGAGGACAATTTTGAGAATAAGTTCTCTTTCCATCATGTGGGTCTCAGGGATTGGTTTTAGGCTGTCTGGTTTGGCAACAAAGACCTTGCCCATTGAACCATCCTGCTGGCTGCTTCTGCAGAGTATACAGATTCCGAGGACACAGGTTCAGTTCCAAGCATCGGCATGGTGACTCAAAACTGTAACTACAGTTCCAGGAAATCCAAAGGCCTCCTTTGGCCTCTGCAGGCACCAGGCACAGACATGGTACACAGACATTCATGCAGACAAAACACTTTTTCACATAAGATAAAATAATAAAAAGTTTTAAAAAGGAAAATATATAGAGAAGTGTTCCTCATTTTGTGATTTTATAAAGTGTGTGTGTGTGTGTGTGTGTGTGTGTGCATGCACATGTGCATTCATAGGTGCCAGCATGCACAGAACATGCATGTTAGACAGAGGACAGCTTTTAGGAGTTGGTTCTCTCCTTCCACCATGGATTCAAGTGGTGAGACTTAGATGGCGCATGTCTTTACCTCTGAGCCATCTTGCCTGTGCTGTCTTGTGATTTCTGCTTTAAGGGCGTGGCTCTTGCTCCATCATAAAGTTGAAAAACCATAGGTTCAGCTATTGGAAGTTGGGACACTATGTATATGGTAAGCACTTATGTGGTGGGAATACTTTTCTGAGTTGGTGTTGAAAAGAGCCATTTGGATCCTCAGAGGATGAATACAATAGTTGTATATACATACAACATGTGAAAATGCTATCATTTAAAGGCTGCGGAAAATGTACACACCGAAATTTCCCTGGAGGTCCAACAACGGTTCTGTAACGAGCATGGGGTCTGGGATGCGAGCAGGAGGAGTTGGCTGCCTGTGTGTTCATTTAACAGATAGCAGCCAAGCAACTACTAAAGGGCCCATTGAGTGTTTTCTGAAAGCAGAACAATGTAGCAATTTAGTCTCTATGACATCACTTTTTAAAAATAGCTGCTTTCTGCAACCGATATGGTTCATAATGAAAACGTTTTTTCATCTCTTTTGGGAAGAGGGCGGGGGACATTTGGGGGCAGGAGTGACCAGTGACTAAGTGAGATAAATGTTCTGATTGTACTCAGTCTCCAAGTAAATAGAAATGTGACTGGCACCAAGATGCAAGGTCACGTGGTCATCCTCTCATTAAAAATATTAAGCAAAAAAGTCCATTCCATTGTGTGGCCTTATGGTATTTTATCATTGGTGGTGTTGAGGAGATTAGAAACAATAGGCGGTAACCAGACAGTCTCTATGGCTGCTTGCAGAGGCCTTCTGTGGGGATGCTGAAGGTGTGGCCAGAGTTGAGGCCTGGGCCCGGCTAGACTGTACAGCAGGTTCAAGGGCTGCCTCCCACCTGCTGCTGCCACCCACAGGACAGATGGTCCCTAGGTTTTCAGATCCCCTGTAGACCCACAGCCTTGGGTCCAGCCACATGCATATTTCAGAGTTTAATAACCACTCTGGAACCTTGTTGCCCCAGGGGTGCTGGGAAAGATTTAATAGGTGGTGTCAGGAAAATTTCCTGATCTAAGCGTTCCCCATCGGGCCATTCTCAACCTAGACGCAGCACCAGGTTCTAAGTGAGCAGCTGGGAAGAGTCTTGGATGGGCTCCAAGGCTTGGGGCTAGCCCCTTAAGAGTCCCTTCATGTGCAGCTGATGGAGCACTAGCTGAGACCACCCGTGCTGCTGCTATTTCAAAATATAAGTCCCCCTGAAAGATGGGACAATGAAGTTCTCTTCACTCCCTTCCTCTTTCCTTTCTTCCCTCCCTGTCTCCTTTTCTTCCCTCCCTCCATCCCTTCCTCCATCCATCCTTTTCTCCCTGCCTCTTTCCTTCCCTCCTTTCCTCACCTTCACCCCCCACCCCCGCCCAAGCAAGCTATTTGTAGTGCAGTGTGTCCGTAAACTCACCATCTTCCTGCCGAAGCTTACGAAGTACTGTGGTCACAGGAACACACCACCATCTCCAGATCCTTCCCCCTGCCTTTAGACATTACTGGAAACTATTGACTGGACCTTCTGCCAGTCACTGGGCATAGACTGGTCAGAATTCCTCCCTGACAGGGGAAAGCCGGGGTCTGGCTGGTGGAAACCGATGCACCGTGTGACTCATGTTCATCTGTTCCATGACTGAAGCCTGTATGAAGCGCAGCAGGACTCTGGAGAGGGGCTCGTTCCACGCAGCATGGGATTGCACCATGAAACAAGGCCTAGGGAAGGTGCCAGTTCCCACAGAACCATCAGAACCACCAGTGTCTGAAGCCGTGTAACATGCAGTACAAGCAGCAACCAGGCTTTTGCTGAGCATGTTCTATGCCCCAGGCATATTCCAAACCATTTAGTCTGTCCTACGTTGAGCATCCTGGCACATGCTTTTAGTCCTAGCACTTGGGAGGCAGAAGCAGACAGAGCTCTATGGGTTCAAGGCCAGCTTGATCTACATATAAAATTCTAGACCATCCAGGGCTACATATTAAGACCCAGTTTAAAAAAAAAACTAAACCGACTAAACAAACAAACAAAAAAGAAATGTCTGCCTGTACTAATTTGATATAGACTTTCTCCTCCCTCTTTCATGCCTTCCTTTCTTTTCTTTTCTTCTCCTCTTCCTCTCCTCCTCCCATCCTCCTCCTCCTCTTTGACAAGGGTCTCACTATGCAGTCCAGGAAGGTCTTGAACTCATGATCCTTCTGCCTTCATCTCCCAAATGCTTGATTTATAAATATGTATCACCACATCTGACATGTCATTTTTTAACAGAGTAGTGAAATCATCATTTGCACAGATATTACACTAGATAAATCATAATCCAGAGATTTTTAAGTATATGGGAAGATATGTTTCAGTCATAAGCAAATATTATGTATGACTTTTTATAGAGAAACTTGACACCTCAGAATTTTGGCGTCCTCAACAATTCCTTGACAATGTTAGAACGTTCACTGTAAGAGACAGAACCTAGCCAGTTTTCCTGAGAGTACAGGTCATTCTACTTTATGTTAAAAATGAATAGTAACCTTAGTGTCACTCAAAGAAACACACCAACAAATGAAAGTAGCTGGGCATGTCAATTGTTTCCTAAAAATGATATTTTAAGATCCAATTTGGCTGGACAGTGGTGGTGCACGCCTTTAATCCCAGCACTCGGGAGGCAGAGACAGGGGATCTCTGTGAGTTCGAGCTCTGGCTGGTCTACAGAGTGAGTGCCAGGACAGGCTCTAAAGCAATACAGAGAAACCATGTCTCAAAAAACCAAAACCAAAACCAAACCAAACCAAACCAAAACGAAAACAATTAATTCTAGTGAGCACACAGACTAGGATGAATTCCATCTTTTATCCCTGCTGTAGGTAGTGACTGTGTCTTACTTATTCCATTGGTGGGAGCTCAACTTCAGTCTGATGCTACTGGCCAATCCAACATTAAGAGGAAAAGGAAAGTTCAGGAGATATGAGTCCTTGTTGGGGTAAGTACATTTAAAAAAATTCTTATACTGAGGAATTGTGATATTTAGTACACACAGTAACAATATGTGAGCCAGTAGACAATCTCATAGTAGTTGAGACTATATGCCACCTTTTTTTCTTTTCAGTTTTTGGAGAAAGTGTTTCTCTGGGTAACAGTTCTGGCTGTCCTGGAACTCGATTTGTAGACCAGGATGACCTTGAACTCACTGCAATCCCCCTACTTCTACCTCCCAAGTGCTGGGATCAAAGACGTGTGCCACTACCACCAGCAGTATGCTAACTTCTTACATTTGAATCTTGGCTACACACATTACTTGCTTTGTGGTCTTTGCCAAGTTACTTAACCACTCTGTGTCTCAACCTCGTCACCTATATTAAGTTTTCTATAGTGTCTTGTGTCGATGACTGAAAATTCACTAGTCAAGAATGACCTCAAATTCCTGAACCTTCTGTTCCTACTCCTGAGATGCTGGATTATATAGGCATGTACCATCACATCAGCTTCGTTTATTTTAGGTTTTAAAGACAAGGTTTCACCACATACCCCAGGCTGGTCTTGAATTTACTATTTCAGCAATTCCACTTCAGCCTCCTAAATACTAGGATTGTAGGTGTGTCACTATGCCCAGTTAATCCAATTATTTATTTATTTTTCTATGTATGGATGTCTTGCCTGCATGTATGTCTGTGTAATACATGTGTGCAGTGCCCTTGGAAGTAAAAGGCAGCATTGGATTCCCTGGAACTGAAGTTATAGATAGTTGTAAGAGGCCACATGTGTGCTGGGGATTGAACCCTTGTCCCTTGGAAGAGCAGATAGTGCTCTTACCCACTGAGCCATCTCTTCAGCCCCAGCTAATCTCATTTATAACAGAGGTTATGAGAGCATGTATTTTCCAGAAAGTTGCTGTGAGAAATATAAGAGATCAGATAGTGGATGCCTAGCCTCTTTTGTACTTCAGATTTCTCAATGATCTGGAGTTCCAACACAATGTAGATGCCTTGCAAACAGTTATTGTTTAGGGAATGACAAGACAAAGTCTGTACATATTTGCTAAGAGAGTGTTTTTTGCTAAGTATTTTCAGTCTGTGGTTGGTTCAATCTCTAGACGCAGAATCTGCAGATACAGAGGCCCCACAGTGTTTGCAGGGAAGTCAGATGCTCTGTTTGGAGCCTGTCACCCCAGTGTACTGGCTTGGCAACTGCCGATTGCCTCCGAGCACAGAAGTAAATGCGCCGTGAAGAAATTTTCTGTAACCAATTCCAGTAATAATTGGATTAGATTCTTATTAGATACAGATTTCAATAAAGCAGCAATGTTAACTCCATGTTTAAGTGAACATGACTGTTCACAGAGATCAAATGACACCACATTAAATTAGCATTGGATATTGCCCCTGGATAGATAAAGGTTAAATGTGAGGTTAGATTATCTTGAACTAGCAAACAAAGCCTTGAAATTATGAATGTCATTATGCACACCATACTATGTAAATAGAGGCTCTCCAACTTGCTTTTGTAGACTTCAGAACACACAGGCCAGTATAAATAAAAAGCTGGATTTGAGTCTTCCTTATCTTAATTTTAGATATGAAATGGATAACCTGGTGTGGTGGTATTTTGTTTATGTTCTAACAAATAAAACTTGCCTGAAGATCAGAGTACAAAGCTAGCCACACTAGTCAGCCATAGAAGATAGTCAGCGATGGTTCACACCTTTAATCCCAGCAGCCATACTAGTTAGCCATAGTAGCTGGACAGTGGTTCACACCTTTAATCCCAGCACTAGAGAGGAATATAAGGTGGGTGGAGACAGGAGGACAGTATATTGAGTCTGCAGTCCTGCTGAGGACAAGATTGCCCCAGCCTTGGCAGAGGTAAGAACTCTTGTCGTGGCTGCTTTGCTTTCCTGACCTTCAGCTTGAACCCCAATATCGGTCTCTGGGTTTTTATTATTCAACCAGGAATGGTGGTACAGACCTGTCCCCTTTACCTACTCAGGAAGCTGAGGCAAGAGGATCTCAAGTTCAAAGCCTGTTTGGGTAACTTAGAAAGATCTTGTCTGAAAATTAAAAGTATTATCTATAAAAAGAGAACTGGAGGGCTGGAGAGTTGCTTTAGAGGTTAAGAGTACTGGTTGTTCTTCCAGAAGACTCGGGTTAGATCCCCAGGAAACAAATCTCACAATGGGTTGTAGTTCCAGGGGATCCATTGCCCTCTTCTGGCCTCCAAGGTGCACAGATGTGCACACAGACAAAATACCCACACACGTAGAAAAAAAAAAGAAGAAGAAGAAAAGAGTGCTAGGGTTGTAGTTCAGCGGTAGGTTTAATGCCTACTAACCTTCCACACGGTGACTTAATTTAGTCTAATAGAATCTACCATAATAAATCAGTAACTGTATTAGTTTCTTTCCTGGTTTCTGTGACCAAATACTCTACGAAACAAACTAAAGTGCGTGCCTATGCCCACGTGGGTAAGAAGCAGGGAGTCGGATAATCCGGGCCTGAAGTTACAGACTATTGTGAATCACCATATGGGTGCCAGAGAATTAACCCCAGTCCTCTGGAAGAGTAGCCGGTAGTCTTAGCTTATGAGCTATCACCGCAGCACCACTTGTCTTTTTAAAACAATTTTTTTTTCAGAGTTGAGGACTGAACCCAGGCCCTTGCGCTTGCTAGACAGGCACTCTGCCACTGAGCTAAATTCCCGATTCCCTGTCTTTTTAAATTTTTTGGGGGGAGTGTTGAGACAGGGTTTCTCTGTGTAGCTTTGGATCCTATCCTGGCACTCACTCTGTAGACCAGGCTGGCCTTGAACTCACAGAGATCCACCTGCCTCTGCCTCCCTAGTGCTGGGGTTAAAGGACATCTCCGTGTAACCCTGGGTGTCCTGGGACTTGCTTTGTAGAGTTTGTAGACTCAGCTGGCCTCAAGAGATCCAACTACCTCTGCCTCCTTAGAGTTTGGATTAAAGGTGCCTGTAACGGCAGCCTGGTTGGTTCCACCTGTCCTTTTTCGAGTGGTTTCTCTGCACGCTCACTTCTGAAATGTGCACACAAAGCAGGCAAAAGTGCATATGGGCTTCAAGTGACAGGGAAGCCAGTATCCAGCCAGTGGGAAGTCAAGCAGGTCTAGGAGCAGGTAGTCCCATCCAGAGAAAACCAGTGTCACTGGTCATGGAATGGAGATGAATGCTGGTGAGGAAACCAGCAGTGGGTTAAGTGAGCTCAAGAAAATGCCAAGTACCAACCCCCACACACACAAACACTCATGAACACACACACACACACACACACACACACACACACACACACACTTCTTGCTGGGTTGGAACCCACAGACTTGTGCACACTGGGTGAATGCTCTCCCACTCAGCAACGGCTTTAGCCTTGGACCAGCATCTACTGGCAAATCCGCCCCCCCTTTCCGTTTTTCAAGAAAGGGTTTCTCTGTGTAGCTTTGTTGACCAGACTGACCTCGAACTCAACAGAGATCCACCTGCCTCTGCCTCCGGAGTGCTGGGATTAAAGGTGTGCCTGGCTCACATTCTTTTTATCCATCCTTCCTGACCTATCTTCTCTGTACCTCAAAAGCGGCAGGGCACTGACAACTGCTTAACATTTGGCTTCCTGGGAGGAGAAGGTCTGGTTTATAGTGGTTGAAGATTTTCTCGGTGTAAATAACCCCACCGTGGGTGATGCAAGCTCCTTCAGGATATCATGGAAACAGAGCGTTGGGGAGAGGTACCTGAAAGCACCATCCATGCAGATTCCCAGAAGGAACAGGCAACGGGAGTAAAGAGCTTTGAGGGCTGCTGGGGGCGAAAGGCCGAGTGGGTCTGCTAAGCGCTGCCGTCCCCTGCGCAGTTTAAACAACCAGTGTTTATTTTCCTACAGTTCTGGAAGCTGAAATTCAAGCTCAAGATGTCAGCAAGTTTGACACCTGCCGAGACCAGTGTCCTTGGCTTGCGGGTGGCCACCCTAGCGGACTGATACTACCAAAAGCCCTGGAGCAAGTAGGAGCTGTTGGAGGAGAGGGTGGCAGGAGACTGTTTCTAGCTAAACCGAGGCGTCTGCTTCTATCTTTAAAGCTGTAGATAAAAGATCCGGAGAGTAACGGGTAGCATTGCCAGAGCTGGAGTCAAATAGGCTGCCTTCACGTGAATTTAACCTTGGGACAGTCACGTCACTCTCAGCTCTTCCGGTTTTTTTTTGTTTTTGTTTTCCTCGCCCATAAAATGCAGCTCAGTCTGGAGCTGGTAAGTGGAATTACATGTTCTTTTGTGTAGCATTTAACTGGGTGCCCGGCACAGAGCTGGGAAGGACCCCCCCACCCCCACCCCTCACCACATTAGTCACCTCCCCCTGCGAGCAGCTCCCTGGAGCCATGCCAACCTGGGTGCATTTGTTCTCATTCCCTGGGTGGGAAGAGAAGCCATCTGTCTCTAAAATCTGGAGTCTCCGTTTTATATCACCAAGGGCTTGGATTTTGTCCTGGTATCTTTTTCTATAGGCTATGGAAACCTATTATTTGAAGAAGAAGAAAAAAGTGAAGTAAAATTAGGTTCATGGAGAGGGAAAACTGACTAAACTGTGGGGAAAAGCCAGGAGAACTTGGGAGCTTTGGGGCAGGATGGAGGATACCAGCTCTGATAGGTGCCTGGCTCTCCCATTCCTGAGCTCTCCTGGCCTAGAACCTGCCAGAGGGCACTGGGGAATACCAATAACATTAGGTCACCTGGAGGGACATGAAGTTGAATTGTGTGATAGTCTGTTACAGAGGCGATGCCACATACTAGCCTACTCATCCTAGGTAAGAAACCAGTAATAGACTAAAGGAAGGGTGCCACAAAGTCCAACCTGGTGAACAAATGGGTTTTTTGAGGGGTTATTTACAGGGATATGGGTGAAAGATTTCTTACAGGAGCAGAAAAACTCAGAGACAGCTCTATTGCCAAGGCCCACTCTAGCACGGGTGACAGCTCACAAAAGCTGGAAACCTGGAACACACTGCACAGCCTGCAGAGAGCTCAGCAGGTTGGAGAGTGTCCTTTCCAGGCAACTCAGCTTTGTTTCTTCTAGGCAGTTCTACTGCTCGCTCTCTGCTTCTTTCAGGCAGCTCGGCTGGTCCCTGCATATAGCAGGTGGCTCGGATCATGAGCGAGTCTTCTTTCCAAAGTGGCTCATGAGATAACTGTGTGTTTACTGTTCATACACTCTTGGGGAGGGAGGGGCCTAATGACTGGTCAGTTTCAGGGGCTTCCTGAAGCTATTTTGAGTTTACTTCCTGTCTTAAGGAAGTTCCTCCTCATGATAGAGTGTTTCACCTACCAAAACATCCTGCTATCTCACCTCTTTTTAAATAGCATGTCCTAAAATATTCTGCTACTTCCCATCTCTTTTACATCCTATGTCTTCAGCAGAAGTTTGTCTGCTCGATACACCCTGTCATATAAAGACAGTCAAAGACTTTAAATGGGACATCCAGTAGGGTGGCAGACCTAGGTTGTCCGGAGGGTGATCTGCATCTCTTCTGAACTGAGATTATTTGAGACAGGTGCGGCCTCCTTTGGGAATCTTCCAATTAGTGCAACACCTAGCTAGCCCCTTTATGTTATGGGTAAGGACACCCATCTAGGAAAGTCTGTTGAAAAGTAACCTGCTTGACTGAAACCTGGGGTCTTGAGACAAAGGAGAAAGGGTCTGGGTAGGTAATGCGGGCAGATTGCAGGCTCTCACATGGCTTTCCTTCTGGAAAAAGAATATAGCTCTTTTCCCTTCTGTCTTCCTCTCACCCCTACGCAGAAACTGTCAGCAATGTCTTCCCATCTTAAACTGAGGCAGAGTGACGATGTGTTTTTCCATCCCAGGCCAAAACGAAGAAACAGCGTCTTCCCCCCCCCTCCCCGACACACACTCATGCTCTTTTTGTCTCAAGTTCTGCTCTTCACTCCCCCCTCCCCATCCCCTCTCTTCCTACACACATGCACACAGGGCTTCCCTCTTAATTGAAAACTAACGAGCCATTGTCTCTGAAACTGACCACCAAGTCTATGCATGGCTCCTTTCATAGTCACTGCCAGCAAAACTAGATCATTTCTTCTTCAGCAGTTCCAAGGAAAGGGGACCACTCTGGAAGCGTGTGGGGTCTGCCCAGTAGCTAACAGGGTTATCAGCAGGATTGTATTAATTTAACTGATGATTATAGAGTGAATAAATAAATACTCTTGTCTCAAGAGATTCAGAATAATTGGAATATGTAGCATCAATGTCACTTTTTCACACAGAATATAAAACTTGTGACCTTTGAACCAAAAGGTGGAAACAATGACAGCTTTGGGTGTGGCAAGTTCAAGGTCATGGCATTTTGCAGGATTGTAATTTATTTCAACCTCCTTGTTACAGAACTGAGGGAGGAACTGCAGACTGCAGACAGGGCGAGGGTCTGAGAAAGGTGATGGAGTGCTAAGGGTCTGGTCAAACCCTGGTGGTGTTTTAGATTTGGTGGGAGCGGGAGCTAGGAGTGTTCTCAGCTTTAGGAGGACCATGAAGATGCCTTGCATAGCAGGATATTAGCAATATATATGATCACATGTAGAGAAATTCTTTATGTAAGATACAGCTTTTGGCAAGGACTTGGTAATGGATCCCTTCTCAGGGGAGAGTTGTGTGGAGTAAGGGGGAACACTGGAAAGATGAAATTAGCCAGAGGAGCCAAAGTGGAGGTGAAATGAAATAGGTTTGCACCAACCCAGGAGCTGTATTCCATTAAACATCTTGGCAGAAAGCAAGCTTGTTACCCATTCTGCTTGGCCCCATCTTGCTCCAAGACCAATTTGGTTCAGCAAGCATACCTTATTTGTAACATATTGTTAGAGCAGAAAAGAACTCCTTCATGTTGAGATGAGAATCTCCAGCCTGGGTAGAGACCGAGCATTCCACTTGGATTAGGTCAATAGCTTGGCTAAGGGACAACCCATAGGAAGGCAAGCTGACTGTAAGCAATTCTAAAGGAGAGGCAGAACAATTAGTCTATAGTATAGGGGTCTTAAGTCAGCTTGCCCTTCTGAATGACTCAGAAAAGCATAGTTTTCCCTTTTCATCATTCTACCTCTTTTCTAAACATACTTTCCATAATGTTTGGGCTTTCCCTACACATTCTGAGTGTGGTAGTTTGAATGTAATTGGCCCCCATAAATTCATAGGGAGTGACACTATTGGGAGGTGTGGCCTTGTTGGAAGAAGTGTGTCACTGTGGAGATGGATTCTGAGTCTCATCATACATGCTCAAGCCACTCCCAAGGTTTCAGCTCACTTCCTGTTGACTGTGGGTCAATACATACGACTCTCAGCCTCCTCTCCAGCACCAGTCTGCCTGCAGGCCATTGTGTCCCACACTGATATTAATGGAACAAACCTCTGAAACTGTAAGCCAGCCCAAGTGAATGTTTTGTAAGAGTTGTCATGGCCCTGGTGTCTCTTCACAGCGATAAAAGACATGAGACACTGGACCTCCTAATTTTTCTCCCGAAACCTCTTCCTTGTCTTGTGGCTGCTTGTCCACCATCGTGCCAGCTTAAATGCCACAACTTTCCCCCATTCTGTCCTCCTCTGGCAGCCACTGAGATTTACAGCTTGCCTGCCCTGGGAAATTTTCTCTTAAACCCTAGTAAAAGTATCCTTGAGCTTCTGTTTATGAGTCCATTCTTATTTTTTTTTGTTAATGAGACTAAGAACCCCAAAAGAAGATCTAGATTTCTCCTGTATCATGGTTACATAAGGAGAGGAATTACTTTTTAAACCACTGAAATCTAAATACTACTATCCTTTGATTTAGTTTATTTTTTGGTCAGAGTTAATGGTAAACTTGAAGTCATTTAAAAAACTTTGATGTTATTTTGTCATTTGAACAGGAAACTGACACATGTAGGAACTCAGTGAAAGGCCTGGGGATACCGTTCAGTGGTAGAGTCCTTGCCTGCCATCCTCAATATCAGAAAACAAAATAAAACAGGTGGGGGTTGTAGAGGTGGCTCGGCAGTTACGAGCACGTACGACTTTCACAGGGGACTGCAGTTTCAGTTCAAGCCTCTCACAACAATCTGTAACTCCCAGTCCAGGGGATCTGATGCCCTCTTCTGGCCACCGAGTACACCTGCACTCATCTGCACAACTCTTCCCACCTCCACATACACACAACTTAAAAAGAAAGCAAATCTCCATAAAGAAACAGGCAAGAATTCCAGTGGCTGCCTCACAGTGTTTAGTGTTTCCCCATTTCCCTTTGCCCCATTCTCTTCTTAGCCTTTAAACCAGAGACCAAGCTTAGACACAATCATCACGTGGCGATATTATGATCTAACAAATAAAACTCGCCTGAAGATCAAGTGTAGAACTAAGCCACTGGTTAGCCATAGAGGCCGGGCAGTGGTGGCACACATTTTTAATCCCAGAACTCCAGATGCAGAGGCAGACAGATCGCTGTGAGTTCAAGGTCAGCCTGGGCTATACAAGCTTGATTCAGTCTAAAAGAGAAACAGAGCCAGGCCGTGGTGGATCACACCTTTAATCCCAGTACTTGGGAGTCACACCTGCCTTTAATTTCAGCACTAGGGAGGATATAAGGAGGAGACAGGAGCTCATTGCATCCAGTCTAAGGATTCCTAGAGACAGAATCACCTATTCAGTCTGAGAATTTGGTAGAGGCAAGAACTAGTGGCTGGCTGCTCTGCTTCTCTGATCTTTCAGTATGTATATCTGACTTTTATTATTAAGACCAATTACAATTCAATCTACACACCACAGTGTGTAGTGCTGGCAGTGCTGATGTGTCTCCCCAGGTTAGGACACAGTGGGATTCCTTCCCTGTCTGTCTCAGGGCTCTGCACACAGAATATCTCTGCTTCCTGTTCCCATGGCTTGGCGCTCTAGTCTTCTGCTTCATGTGAGGGTACCCCAGAGGGGTTAGCAGGAACTGCCTCAGAGCTGAAGGCTTGCTGCTGCTGGGCATGCAGACTGGAGGCTGTGGAGTACCTGCACTGGGTCAGGAATGAAGGAGTTAAGTGAGCTTGTGTGGAAGAGGGCCATGCCAGCTGCATGGCGGCATAATCTGTAGTTCCAGCTATCGGAAGAATGGGAAGGTCACCTGAGTCTGGAGATATAGGTCAGTGCTCTTTTAGCCCTCTGTGCTCTATACAATCCTTCCACAGACACAATGGAACAGCTGTAGGGGCCTTCTT